GCATCCATGATCGAATCGTTGAACCATCTCTACGAGTTTTTCCTTTGGTTGGATATCTTCTCTATTTCTAATCACTCGTTTTGTTTTCTTCTCTAGTTAGATTTTATTTTGTTTTAGTTTTCGTAGTTCGATAAATCATCAAAAACCCCCCATCATTTTTATTTTTATTTCTTTCACGAATAGTTGCATCAATACTTTGTCTAGCCAATCCCTGTGGATACGACCCTGCTTACCACTACTACAGTTATTTTAAAAGCAGGAATTTATTATTGTTGGATTCGACACCCATCACCGGATGAAATGATACTTAACCTCGATGTACTTCGTTCGCGAGTGAAACGCGGGGTTCTTTGCCAGATGGATTGCACTCTGGCTATCGCTGTATAGAGCCACATTCTCTTGAGGTCTCCCAAGTTCATTCAGGAAGTTTTGCAGCCAAACGAGCTCCTTGGCTGCCTCAGTCACTGCCACGTACTCAGCTTCCGTTGTGGACAATGTGACTATCTTCTGCAGTTTTGAGATCCAGGATACGACCGTCCCGTCGTAAGTGAACACGTACCCAGTAGTACTCCTCCTCTTGTCAAGATCACTTCCTGCAAAATCAGCATCGACAAACCCAGACAGGGTAAGGGTACTCCTGCCAAATACCAATGCCCGGTCCTTAGTACCCCTCTGGTACCTAAGGATCCACTTTACCGCCTCCGAGTGCATCACTCCAGGATTGCTCATGAACCGGCTGACTACTCCCACTGCATGTGCTATGTCTGGCCGGGTGCAGACCATAGCGTACATAAGACTCCCTATAGCCGAAGCATAAAATGTAATTCTCATCCTTTCCTTTTCAGAGTCATCCTTGGGTGAATCCTTGTTGGACAACTTGAACTGGCTTCCCAGTGGCACTCCAACCGGCTTTGCAATATCCATTTTGAATCTGCACAACATCTTCTCAATATAATCAGATTGAGAAAGCCAAAGTTTACCAGCATTTCTGTCCCTCGTGATTTTCATGCCCAGTATCTGTCTCGCTTCTCCTAGATCCTTCATATCAAATCTCCTTGATAGCTGATCTTTGAGCCTCTCGATCTCCTTGACATCTGATCCTGCTATCAGCATGTCATCCACATATAGCAGTAAAATAATGAAAGAGTTACCGAACCTTTTCACATAGCAACAATGATCAGCATTATACCTGGAGTATCCAATCTCCAGCATGCAATTATCGAACTTTAGATACCACTGTCGAGGAGCCTGTTTCAGTCCGTACAAGCTCTTCTTTAGGCGGCAGACCTGCTGATCATTTCTTTTATACCCCTCTGGCTGCACCATGTAAATTTCTTCCTCGAGATCCCCATGCAGAAAGACCGTCTTCACATCTAACTGTTGCAACTCCAAGTTTTCCGTCGCTACCATGCTTAACACTAGACGAATAGTGGTTAACTTAACAACAGGTGTAAAAGAATCCCTTTACTACAAGTCTGGCCTTGTACCATTTTGTTCCATCAGATTCCTCCTTGACCCGATAGACCCATTTGTTTTGAAGCACCTTTTTTCCTTGTGGGAGTTCACAAAAATCCCATGTGCGGTTCTTCTTCAATGAGTTCATCTCGTCGTCCATAGCAAGCTCCCACTTGCTCTTGTGGGCATCTTTAACTGCCTCTGCATAATAGTCGGGTTCCCCAAAATCAGATAAAAGTAGGTAATAAAGAGAAGGGGAGTACCTATCCGGGGCCCTTCTCATCCTCGGTTATCGGCCCAGTGCCAGAGGCGTGCTGCTCTCAGCAATCGGTTCATCCGATTCTGGTTCTGCCTCTTCTTATGTACGCTCGATTTCATCTATCTGAGCTCCCACTAAATCTGCTGGTCTCATGATTCTGGTATTTGAAATATCGAGACCAACACAACATACTCCTGCATGGTCTTGTCATCGTCAGGGTATTTCTTCCGGTCCTTGTACATTATGCCTTCATTGAACACCACATTACGACTGCGAATAATTTTTCGATTTTGATCATCTCAAAATCTATACCCAAATTCGTCAGTCCCATATCCAATGAATGTACATTTGACGGACTTAGTATCCAGCTTTGTCTAGTCGTCGTTCAAAACGTAAGCCAAACAACCAAAGGTACGTAAGAAACAGAGATCAACTTCCTTACCACTCCAGACCTCTTCTGGAATTTTGTTGTTCAGTGGGACATAAGGCCCTCGGTTGATCAAGAAAGCGGCCGTGCTGACTGCATCTGCCCAAAACATCTTGGACAGTCCACTCTTCAATCGCATGTATCTCGCACGCTCATTCAGTGTCCTGTTCATCCTCTGCGCAATGCCATTTTGTTGAGGTGTCCTGGGACCGTCTTCTGAATCCGGATCCCATGATCAGCGCAGTATTCCTTGATGGCTTCACTGTTGTACTCGCTACCGTTGTCGGATTTGAGACATTTCACTTCCAGACCTGTCTCTTTCTCCACGAGTGCTCTCCATCTCCTGAAAGTATCAAAGGCTTTGGATTTTCTTTCAGAAAGTACACCGATACCTTTCTTGTGCAGTTATCGACGAACGTCATGTAGTACATCGATCCTCCAAGAGATGTCATCGGTGCTGGCCCCCATAAGTCAGTGTGCACGAGCTCCAGTTTTTCTGTCTTTGGAGCTCTCCCGGTGGTCGTGAAACTCACTCGCTTCTGCTTTCTAAGCACGCATTGCTCGCAGAGACCCACGTCCACTAACCCCAACTCGGGCAAAAGTCCTCTCGACTTTAGTACCTTAATTCCTTTCTCGCTCATGTGGCCCAAACGACTGTTCCACAAGTGCGATTGTGAGACAACTCCTGCCAGGAGAATGTTTGAGCTGGATCCACTTGCCGTGTAAAGCGTTCCTGACTTTAGCCCTCTTGCCAAAGTCATAGCTCTTCGGCTTACCTTCCACTTTCCGTCTCCAAACATTGTGTGGAAGCCGTCATTGTCCAGCTGTCCAACTAAGATAAGATTCCTTTTCAGTCCTGGAATGTGCCTCACATCCCGTAGGGTCCAGCATGACCCATTTGCTGACTTGATCTGCACATCTCCCTTCCCTACAATTTTAGGGGTTTGTTGTCTGCAAGATATACCACGCCAAAATCACCTGCGGTGTATGGCTCCATGATATCTCTGCTACTGCAAGAGTGAAACGAGGCCCCTGAGTCAACGATCCAGTCATTGAGCGAGCTTCTCACACTCAACAAGAGAGCATCCGTCGTGTCCTCCGTCGCGGCATTGGCTGTCCGGCCTTCTTTGTCCTTCCTTGGTGCCCGGCATTCGCTTTTCATATGCCAGGCTTCTCGCAGTTCCAACACACCATCTCTTTCTTGCCTTTATTCCTTCCCCTGGATTTTGACCTCCCACGAATGTTCCCTTGTATTTCGGGTCTCCCTCTGGACTGTGTATGTAGGGCTGAGCCAGACGACCCACCTGCCTGATTTCTGCGGGTCTCCTCGTTCAACATCATGTCTCTTATGTTGTCGAACTTCATCTTCTCCTTGCGAGAAGAAGTTCTCACCGAAGTAACAACCACGTTCCAACTGTCCGGCAATGATGAGAGCAAGATTAGGGCTTTTACCTCATCATCAAACAAAATATCTACCGATGCCAACTGCGTCGTGAGTTGGTTAAAATCGTTGAGATGATCGGTCACTGACTTTCGCTCCTCCATTTGCAATTTGAACAACTTTTTCATCAGCATCACCTTGTTTATTGCTGATGGTTTTTCATACATGTCGGTGAAGGGTCTGCAAGACCTCCTTCGCGCTTTTTGCTCCCTTCACATAATAGGCGACATTCCGAGAGAACGAAAGAATTATAGCGCTCATCGCCTTCCGATCGAGCACCTTCCATTCATCATCGCTCATCTTCTCGGGCTTTTCCCCAAGAGGTGCGTATAGATCCTTCCCGTATAGGTAAGCCTCCATTTGCATTCGCCAGAATCCAAAGTCGGAACCATTGAACGGTTCGACTGGAATCTCTCCCTCCATCTTATCTCCAACCTCCTAGCTCTGATACCAGTTGTTGGGAAATAAGGTCGAATAAGATGGAATAATAATAACACACCAATGTGAAATCGATAAAAGACACGAAAGTTTGTTAACCCAGTTCGGATTAAATCCTACGTCTGGGGGCGAACCAAGCCAAGAGAATGAACTAGAAGAAGAGGATAAACTGAATGTTACAATTCACACAAGTCCGTTTGAATACACTCTCTCTACTCTTGTTCTCTCTCTATCTCTCTTGTTATGTTTTTTTTTTTTTTTTGTTGTGAGTTTTACATCATAATTCTAGCTCTATTTATAGAGAAAGAATGCATCAAAATTTCTATAAATTGTACTAACATTTTTCTCCCACGGTGTGCTACTCCATTTTTTTATTTTCCTTTGGTAGTTAGAAAGAAAATGGGCTGTTGCCCATTGACTTCACAGTATTTGCGGATGCAATTGACGAAATACTGCCACAGCCAACAGAGGTTTTTCTGGAGGACGACCATGATATTTTGATGACTCAGAGGGCTGAAGAAGCAACTGAGAGTGCTGGTGGCTCTGATCCACATAAGAGGATGCCTCCTGAGATCATCAAGAGATATTAGTAAGATTTCTGACAAGCTGCTTCGAGTTCTATTGTTCAATGGAGTTTTGTTTCGTAATTAGAGTAATTGGTCTTGTCTGTTATTCAAAATTCTGGTTTGCTGCTAGCAATCATTACGTCTACTGTGAAGTTCTTTATTCAACCATTCAATAATGCAACATCATAAATTAATCTCAAACTTGACTATAAATTATCTCTGTTGGTGGTGTTTTGTCCAATGCTGTTGTGAGAACTGGAAATTGCAAATGTTTTGGAACATGTGGATTTGAAATCTATCAGGAACTATACATTGCAGTCCGCTTGACTTTGATTTTTCAGTAAGATCAAATGTGCTCAAGGACGAACCTTCTCTCTGTTATACGTGACACAGGACGTAACTGCTCGAGTGTATATGCCCCTTTTTGACTGCCCATCCGACCAGTGTGAACTGAATCATGCCAAAGGGAACCTTAATCCCCAACTGAGAGCATCTAAATTTTTGAAGTTTCAGGAGGTTTACAATATCTCAATGGTTCTTTGATTATGATTTAGTGAAATCTTTTAGTTCTTTCTTACAGTGCTCATTGTTTTCAGGCTAAAATTCAAGAACTAGTTGTACATGTTCCTAAAGGTCACATTCCTCGAACGATGACTGTCCAGAGCAGGATGCCTGGTTCAAGTCCAGGAGTACATATGCTAGATAAGACTTGTTATATGCTGCCTGGACTCAGGTAGGGATTCCAACTATACTTCCGTTATTTGTGAAAACTTAGAGAAACGTCCTCTCTCCTCGGAAATATGTTCAAGCCTGTTAGAAATGGTGCTTGATCTCATTTATAATCAATATAGGAATGCTCGGAAAGTTGAAGATGTAGACCATCCTTTGTAATCTTTTCAATCTATCCTAATAGGCAGTACTTACTAAAACCACGCAATTAAAGTTATTACGAGTGACCTTAATTTTATTAAAGCTCAATTATTGGAAGTGATATATACAACAAATTGGCGCGGTCCTCGGCCCCAGAAATTTACGGTCATGAAGATGTAAAAAAGGCTCTTCTTCTTCTCCTAGTTGGTGCTCCTCATCGGAAGTTAAAGGACGGGATGAAGGTGAAAGCATGGACATACATTTTCTTCCCATTCAATGTTTATGATTACTTACTTTTGCTGTAACCAAGCTAATGTTTCATTCATAATTCGGCTTAGTTATGTAAAGCATCAATTTTTCATTTAAAATCTTCTGTTATGCTTCATTTATAAGGCTTCTCCATGTGATAATGCAGATTAGAGGAGACCTACACATATGTTTAATGGGTGATCCAGGTGTTGCAAAAGCCAGCTTCTCAAACACATAATCAACGTTGCACCAAGAGGTGTGTACACTACTGGGAAAGGAAGCAGTGGAGTTGGTCTGACCGCAGCTGTTCAGAAAGATCCAGTGACGAATGAATTTGTTCTAGAAGGAGGAGCCCTGGTACAGTTGCTGTCTTCAAGTTAACCTAATCTTTTGCAAGATTCATGCAATACATTAGTCAGCACCATTTATTTTCATCAGGTACTCGCGGATATGGGCATTTGCGCCATTGATGAGTTTGACAAAATGGACGAATCTGACCGTACTTCTATACACGAAGTCATGGAGCAGCAAACTGTTAGCATTGCTAAGCTGGTATCACTACATCTTTAAATGCAAGGACTGCTGTTCTTGCTGCTGCTAATCCTGCTTGGTAAACCATTTCTCGAATATATATTTACATGCTTTAAAAGAAAAAAATATGAAATTGCAAATTCATTTGCATTTAAGCAATTTATCCGTTTTACTGTCTTTTTAAGTGGGGAGAGTGGGCATAACAATCTATGATATAGCTGATCATTAGTAGTTTAGTTCTGGTACGGTTTTAATTTTGATGGTTTTTTAACATTATCTCTCTCTTTCTTTTTTCAATCTTAAAGGGGGAGATATGATCTGAGGAGAACACCAGCCGAGAATATTCATCTTCCTCCTGCTCTGCTGTCAAGGTTTGACCTCTTGTGGTTGATCCTAGATAGAGCAGATATGGACACTGATCTTGAGATGGCAAGGCATGTTCTGCATGTCCACCAGGCGAAGGAATCACCGGACCTGGGTTTTACTCCACTCGAACCTTCTGTTCTGAGGTAAATCTACCGTATTTTGATTCTACTTCTTTTGCAATTACTTAATGTTGCAGAGGATTTGATATTATCTAGACAGCCATGTTTTGAATAATTTGATAAAATCTATTTCTGTATATGAAGTTACAAACAATATGAACCTCTTAAGCATAAGCTTGCCAACTGGTGCCTTTTTAGTTCTTGTTTTATTCATTATTCTGGATGCGCATGGTTAATAAAATTTCAGAATGTGATACCTATTCTCTAGTGGCGTGTTGTCTGACCGGTGACTTGCATGTAAGGTGTTCTCATTTTAACCTGAGTCACAATTGTAATATGCAGGGCATACATTTCTGCTGCAAGAAAGTTGTCTCCAGCTGTACCACAAGACTTGGAGGAATATATAGCGAGTGCTTATTCCAGTATCAGGCAAGAAGAAGCGAAATCGAATACCCCCCACTCCTACACAACTGTCAGAACTTTACTCAGTATTCTCAGGATATCAGTAGTAAGTAAATCATGAATTATTTGGTACAAACTTTTTTCATTTTTGGCTATATGAGTCTACAGCTTTTCTTTAGATATTGTTTATGGGTTTGTCTACCTAAGTAGCTTCTGACTGTAATACTGTTTCCCTTCGAGTCATGTTAAAAGATGCATCCTTTTACCTGAGCTTCAATCCCAAAGAAAGATATATAGTTTTCATCTCTTTTCAGGCTTTGGCTAGACTCAGATTCTCTGAGTTTGTGGCTCAGAGTGATGTCGACGGGGCACTTAGGTTGATGCAAATGTCAAAATTCTCTTTATATTCGGATGATCGTCAAAGATCGGGCCTGGATGCAATTTCCGACATTTACTCAATATTGCGAGATGAGGCTGCCAGAACCAACAAGGTGGATGTGACATATGCCCACGCTCTCAACTGGATTTCAAGAAAGGTATTTTCTTAAGGCCCTGATTGATATTTTCTGGGCTAGGGGAGCTTAAGACATAAATAAGGTTGACTTGTATGTTACAACATTGAGTTAGTTGACTTGTACGTCTAATGCTCACAGTAATCCTGCAAATGAATGCAAACGAATGTGTCTGTTCCATAAATTAGAGGGAATGAGAAATTGTGTTAAACAATGATTTAGCTCGTTTTAGTTGACATTCTTTAATTGTGTGAACATAGGGATACAGCGAAGCCCAGTTGAAAGAATGCTTAGAGGAATATGCAGCCTTGAATGTGTGGCAGATTCATCCAAATACGTTCGACATCCGTTTTATTGATGCTTAAGAAGTCGAGTTTACTTTTGCCAAATTTTGAGGTGTCGTGTGCGACTCAACATATGTTGATATTTTAATTGTCCCAGTTATTCGAAGTCATGTGAAGATGTGTTACATTTAGATGGTTACAAGTGATGAGCTTTTAGTACAATGGTGCAGTAATCAGGTGAAGATGTATGATTGTGAGATGTTTTCGAAGTTTGTCATGTGTAAACTTTTCTCGAATTCCTCGAGCACATATATGGTTCCTATCTCCTTATCTACCTTACTCTCTCTTTGTTCTTGTTCAGATGAAAACTTGAAAAAAAAAAAAAAA